AACACCCCGTAAGGTCTGCTGCTCAAATGGGGTGGGAAATAGTTGCTACGTGATGGGCACTCACAGCCCTGGAGGGAGAAGCCTATCCGGCTTGACCCTCTCCTGTGGTTCTGACTATGTCTCAGATCTGTCGCTGTGCTTTGCTTTCTGGGTTACTCGGCTCCTTTCCCCAGCAGGCCTTCCTGCCCGGGAACAAGGCTGGGCTTTACAAACCGCTCAGTCCCCAGTTAACCCAGTGAATGGATCCACAGGAGGTGCTCCAGACCTGCCTCTAAAGTGAATCATAAAAGAAAGACCTTCTGAATGAAGATACGTGATTCAAGGCCTCTTAGGATCCCAGATGGTTTGTTCAACGTGTCAAGGGCAGCGCCCATGTGGCCAGGTGGTGGGTCCTGGGAGCCCTGCTTCCCAGGAGCCCGTGTTGGCCAAGCACCCGTTTGGCATTCGTGTATAGCCTGGAGCAATCTTTCAAAACATCAACACATGAAGGAAATCCATCGCGTAGACCCCCAGGCAGGGCAGTGCACAGTCTTCGCTGGTCCCGATGTCCTAGGATGAAGACCCTTTTGCAGACAGGGCAGCTGGCCAGCACTCTGGCATTGGAAAAGTCACCTTCCTTCTTAGCACCTCAGATCCCACACCGAGCCAAAGGCGGTGGTAATGACGAACCCGCCTCATTTGTAAGGATGCTGTAAGTCAGGAGAGCCAAGGAGTGAGGAAGCTGAGCGTGAGTGCCATGAGCTTGGCGACGTTTGCTCGTGAATTTTGGTGTTGGTTTGGATTCCCGTTTTTGGTTGAACCGGGGAATGGGGAGTGGTGTGTTCAGTAAACATTCTGGGCTGCTGAAGAGGCAACCAAGCTGAGTGTTAGCTTGTCAAGTTTGCAGAGAGGCAGTTAAGTGGCAGCGTGCCATTGCTCCAGTTTTGTCGGAAGGGATGGTCTGATGAAAGGTGAGGGGAACAGTAAATTGTGGGAAGACTCAGATGGGCCTGGCAGCCAGTCTAAGAACTGTGGCCTGTTCTTTAGACCACCTGAGGTGCTGGAGGCCTCTGGGCCTGTTAAGCGACCCTAGAATGCAACATTTTAGATTGGTTCTTCTGAAACAAATTCAGCCATGGCCACTCCCTTACTCAGAATCCTTCACTAGCTCCCGGGTATCCTCAGGACTTCCCCACTAGTGTGGCACACATGGGTGACAGATGTGCCAAAAGAATGAACCCCTCAGCCATGGGGGCACCTGAACGGGACTTGAGGCAGCCGGAACCGCTGGATCAGCCCTTCCAGCCACAACCAGCTTCCTCCACATCCCCCAGTGAGTTATAAGGAGTCATTCTCTGTTTAGGATATGATATGAAAATGGTTGGAAGACACCCCTTTTGCATAGATACAAGGCCCTTCACAATTAATCCCCTGCTCGCTTGTTCAGGCTCACACCCTGGCATTAGCCCCAAAGTGCTCTATTGAAACCTCCTAGCCCTCACACACTAGGTCTAGCATAGCCCAGTGTCGCCACGCCTCCTCTGTCCATGTTTCCAACATCCCCGCCTTGTCTGCCTGACCAGACCCCAGCCCATCCTGGCCTAGGCCTCCCTCCTCTGTGTTTCCTGCATAAACAGTGAACGTTCTCAGTGTTCACAGTCATCGCATGGAATCGTCTTTTGGTTTCCATGTCTTCCACAAGAGGGCCTGGCAGAGACTGAGTGCTGTACATCTAGGAAATATATGCTAAATTAATATTTTGAGTGAAGCCCATGAAATTAGAAAAAGTAGGGAAGAAGCCCAAGGTCAAGTTGATTTCAGTTCGTTTGCACATAATAGGTGCTCAGTAAATAACTGTTGAATGCATGAGTGAAAGAAGAGATGAGAAAGCCATTTTAAATGTAGAATCCCTGAGACTCAGTGATGTCTTGAAAGCAAGAGAGAGGGAAGATGGAATAATTCCAGATGTTTCAAGACAAGCAGCACCATCCACACAGCAATCCCCACACAGCTTTCTAGCCCATCCCCCAGCTAAACTCTCACGTGTGTTCCCAACAAGACATGTGCACAGTGAATTGGGATCAGGATGTTTATTGCCACATTGTTTATAATAGCAGAAGCATAGGGAATGGCCAAATGTCCCTCGGTAGGGGGACGCATAAATAAATTGTGGAATATCTATATAACGAAAAAAGTGGTTACAATGACCAAACTAGGTATTGAAATCTTAACATGGTTAAGTCTTAAAGATATAACATTAGGTGGAAAGGTAAGTTACAATAGAACATATTCACTATAAAACACTCTAAAAACACCATATGTTGTTTATTAATATAGGCAGAGGGAATAAAAATAGAAAAATATTCATGGAAATGGAAACCCAACTGTCTCAGGATGCTGGTTACGCTGGGGGAAAGGGAGCACTCGAAGGAGATGGAGGAGCTTTTGTTTTGTCTGTAATGTTTTGTTATTAACAGCAAATGTGGCGATGTATTAGTATTTATTAAATCAGGGTGGTGGGTATTTGTTATGTTAGTTTCTGTACTTTTCTGTTGGCTTGAAATAGTCCATGCTTTTAAAAACTAAATTAAAACCACACAAAAGAAAGGCTGCATTTCTGTATTTAGTCTTCTGTTCCAGACACCCCCCCCTTTTCAATGAGCCTGGCAAACACAGCACAATCACATCTGCCGCTTAGGACTCGCCAAGTCTTAACACCATTTAAAAGCATCAATTCTGAGTTCAGGCTGCAGAGACTGATGGATCTGCAACGTGCATTAAAATCTTTCACCATTGTTTATAGCTTTTAGTCCCCATTTTTTTCCTATATATTAGAGCATCTATCCAACCCAATTAGAATTCGTTTCTGCAGTAAGATTTAATGGAATTCTCTTTCACATGTTTGACTGGAATCTATTTTCCTGAATCCATCACTATATTCTCTTGGTTTGTAACTTTGCAAATTTTTGTTCCTTTTCTCTCCAAAAGAAGCGATCAAATAATACACTGTGGTGAATTTTACTATTTCACTGAAATTGCTTTTGTGTTTGGGGAATAATTTTAGTGGTGTGCTGGAGCTAGCTCACATTGACTCAGGAGGGCCAACTGGGCACATTTCTTCCCAACTGGTGTTCAGTGACATCACATTGGTTGCTTGAAATCAGCCATGATGGGAGTATTTACACCATGGGAATGGGCAAAAGCTGCATACCAGGTTTTTGTTTTTTACTTAGAGGGCTGATGATTAAACGTTTACTAGCTGACCACTAGGAGGCGTGAAAGTTTTCTGAGTTGTGCAGGGTAAGGGTTTCCTACTTTTACACATGTAGAAACCAATAGTCAAAAAAGGAAAAAGTCTTTGGCCTGAGTCACAGGGCCCCAGAGAGGCTTTATTGGGGCACTGGTCTGTGTGGTGTAGATGAAGAAGCACTGGCTTTGGAGACAGGCAGATCTGAGTTTGAATGTGGTATAGCTATAGTCTTGTAGTGTGAATTGTTCAGGTGCCTGTCTTAGCCCCTCAGTTTCCCTACCTATTAAATAAAGATGACCATATCTAGCTTGTAGAGATCTTGTGTGTTGAGTGAAATAATATCCTCAAAAAAACACACGAACAAAGCACAAAGGAGATAAGCAATAGGTGTGATTTGCACTTCTGACTTGCAAGTTCAGATCTCTGTGTATTATCCCATCCTTCCCATAACTGTGTGTATGTGTATAAATTTTGACTCTAACTGACCAAACACCTTTTACTAAGTGGTGAATATACTTTTTCTCCAAATGTGTGCCCCTGGAATAAGTAAAAAGTCTCAGTGTTGACATTTATGTGTGATTTGGGGAATCCGTTTCTTTCCAACAATCTTAGAAATGTATATACTGGGTGTCAACTAAGATCATTTTTCAACTGCCTGGCGTTTTCTCCCCTGACCATGCTGCTGAGCTAAGCATCCTGAGGATTGATTTGGGGGGCCCATGGGTGCTACAATTCTATCCACCAAATTAACTGCAGTGGCCTCCAGGGAAACTCTCTTGGCTCCGTGTGCTGTGCTCCGTGTTCTCTCTGCTCGAACTGAGCTGGTAGTAGAGCTGCTTCTGGCCCATCAGCTAAGCCAAAATGTACTTTTCTTTTCAGACTTTTATTTGAAAGTTAATTAATTGTTGTGGTTGTTTTTTGCCTGAGTAATACATTTAGTTGTTTTAACATTTTAAAAAATACAAATAGATATATAACGGCAATTTTCCTACCTACCCAATCACCCATTCACCCTGGTCACTCCCCATAAAAATTAACAACAACAACAAAAAATAGGAAGGTGGAGGGGAAGAGAAGACAACCCCTTATTATCAGTTTCTTGTGGAACCAAAGGCTTTTGGAGCTCAACTTAAAGACCCAGCACCCTCCGTTCACGGTAGTTTACATGTGTGTGGATTGTGGTGGGCTTAAGAAGACTAATGAAATCAAGGACACTGAAACGAGCTCGTGTGGCTTGTCAGTAAATACAAAGCAAATTGCTAAGGCTTATCCAGTATAAAGCCACACAGGAGCTGCGTTTTGGCCTGTAAAGATAAATGGCATGTATTGTCCAAACACTGTCCATCAGCTAAACCTAGGTAGGTTATCATATCTTCAGGGGGAAACCTAATGCTTATAAGGAATGTATGACGTATCGGGTCAAGCGCTAGGCGCTTTTATAATTATTGTGGTAAAATGTGCATAACATCAATGGGCCATTTTCACCGTATTGGAAAGCATACAAGTGCATTCACACTGTGTGCAACCATCTCCACCACCCACCTCCAGAAGGTGCGAGGCTCCCCTGCCCGCCTCACTTAGTGCCCCCAGCACCTTGGAGGTCTGTGCTAATGTTCTCCCCTCGATGAGGCTGTTTCAGGTCTCACGCCGAGCAACTGGCGGAGCCCGGGATTGAACCGGGCGTGCTCATCGCCAGCGCGCGTGAACAGGTGCGCCCGGCTCTCTGCCTGACTGCTGTTTTGTTCGCCCCCCACCCCACGCTGTGGCCCAGGGGTGATCCTGCTGCTGCTGGATAAGCTGCGGAAGATGAAGTGGGAGCAGATGTGGAGGCTGACCGCCGAGAGGGAGCTGATGGGCATGCTGTCCACGTCCTTAGCCGACCAGGTGAGTGGCCTGGTTAGGAGGCGCGGTTATTCCTGAGGACCCCGGGCTGTTTCTCAAACGGACTTGAAAGTAGATGGGTCTGCACTGTTTTTCTGATGACTGTTTTCCTGAATGCGCTTGGCTAGATCTGCCTTACGCGGCACGTCTAACACAGCCGCTCAGCCCCGGTTTCATTCCCTTTGCCCATTCATTCGTTCATTCCCAGACTTGCCCTGCGCGCTGTGTGTGCCAGGGACCGTGTTCAGAAATAGGATTGCGGAGAAAAGTGAAGGACGCCGGCCCTGGCCTCAGAGAGTGCAACGTCGATTGAAACAGGCTCATGAGTAAATGATAATTTGGTGCGTTAAGGGGAGGTCACCGGCCTCTTCGTCTCCGCGTGGAGCGCACACTGCCTGCCCCCGGGACTCCAGAGCACCACAGCCTGTTTCCTGGACGAGGCTCCCTCTGCCTTCCTGGCAATAGAGTCCGACGTTTAAAGCAAAGCCTTTTCACTCACATCCTGTACTCTGACCCTGTCCCCGAGGGAAACGCATTTAAATGGAAGGGACAAACTGTGTGGCTGGAGAAACCAGCTTTTAATCCAGGTGATGTGAAAAAAGTCCATCAGCTCCACCAAACTATTAACATAAAATCACAAAAGCCCCGTTTCTCATTTTCACCAGGAAACGCAGGGCCCCGGGCCTTTGATCTCGGATCTGCCAGGCTCCCACATTTAGACTTTGCATTTCTTGGGGTGTAAAAGGCCATCTCAAGATGTAAAGACAGCTTCTCTGGGCCTCATGTCCTCTCCTGTTCATCCCCAAAGCGAGCTCACGCTGTGGTTTTGTTCAGTGTTCAATTGTCTGAGTCGCTGGATTCTTACAAAGTTTTCCAGTACAGAGGAAACAGTCTGGAAGGTTACTTGACTTCATTTATTTATTTTTTTAGCATTATTATTATTCCGTATTTCCCAAAGCAGCCAGAAACTAATTTCCTTTTTCAAACACGAGATACGGTATAATGAATGAGTTAAAAATTACCCAGGTAGCTGTTTTAAACCTGAGGGGAAATTTGTTCTCCATCGTCATATTTTAAGCCAGGTCACAAGGACTTGCGCGTGTCCCCAAAAGCTAGCAATCGGATGTCCGCGTCCGATGAGGACAGTGTATCCAGCCATCTCCTGTGCGGAGGCCCATCGCTCACCTCCCGGCACCTCCTGTCAGTGGCTAGTTAATAAGTGTGGCCTGGTGAGGGAGCTTGGAGAAGGGCCGAGAGAGGTGAAGCCTCTTTAGAAAAAGCCGAGCTGGAGGGGGAAGTGGGGACGTGTCCCCGGGCACCATGGCCCGGGGGAAGCCAAGGCGCATCCATCATTGAGTCAGCCAAGAGCCCCGGGAAGAGCTGCTGAAACAGCAGCTCTCTAATTTGTCTCAGCCCCTGAATGAGCAGAGCCCCCTGTCATCGTACGGTTTCCTCTCCAGGAGGCTCAGGATGGATCTCACGGGCTCCTCGATGAGGTGGGAAGAGGGGCGGAAAAGTGACTTCATTTATTATATGCCGGCTCGGATGACAACGGCTGTCCCTGTCTGCCCCCGTGCGCGCTTGCCGTAGGGTGCGCTGGGAGGCCAGCAGGAGCCGGGGGCTTCACAGCGGCTGGGGCATTTCCCCATCTCTATCCAGAGCCTATTGCGTGGCTGCTGGAGATAAAAGGCGGGGGGAGGGCCCGCGGTGCCAGCCAGCCTGCAGGTGGAGCGCACGCAGGTGCTGCGGTGCCTCGCGAGCCAGCAGCGTCCGCGGAACCCCCTGACTGATTTGACTGTGTCTCTGGCTTTCATCCCCAGGATATTTTCAACGCCGTCATCAAGCAGAACCCCTTCCTCGTGTATCAGCTCCCCTGCTTCTGGAACGTGCAGCTGTCGGACCACACCCGCTCCGAGCAGTGCTACAGAGACGTGTCTGATCTGAAGGTAGAGTCAGGGCAGGTCCCGGGGGGTGGAGTGCGGTGCCCTGCTGTGGCTGAGGGCAGCTGGCTAGGGGAATACCCTT